AGCTCTTACAAGAGGAACAGCCTCAGCCCTGGCTAAGTAGAGTAGCTGAGACAGGGTGGCTACAAATTAACAAGGGCTAGGTGAGCTGAATCAGGCTGCCATAGGGCCTCTTTAAAAACCTTCCGTAGGGAGGCAGGAGAGGGAGAGTTGAGAAGGAGCTGGAGTGAGACAAACAACTGATAAGGAGACCATAGGAGCCAAACAGAATAGTCAGGGCTTGGAGGGGGTGGAGGAGTGTATTTGAAGACTCCCTTTTCCCAAGTGGCCAGACGAGGACTGCCTACTCAGCCCAGACTGACCCAGGGTACTGGCCCTATTACTCTGTTGTTTTGCTGCAGGACAGAAGGCCAAATGCCAAAACAAGGCGAGTGAGTCTTGTACTGTGGCCCCTAAACTGTGGGATAGTGGATGGGCGAGGGGCCCAGGAGTGGTTAAAAAGGTTAAAAATAACTTACCAGATTTAACAACAGTTTCTCCCCAATTCTGTGGGTTATCAAAGAACTCCTCCAGTCCTTTCTGTGACAAAGTAGTATGGAGAAACTTACAGTGATATAGGGGTTCTACTTTTGTAGTGTTCTTATGGAGCAGGTTTAAGGTTAATCTGCAACAAAGGCAAAGAAAAATATATATTTGATTAGGAAAAAAGGAGATCTAGTAAATATGAACTTTACTTTTGTTTCCACTCTCATAGACACCTTCTTATTCTGATAGAAAACTTATTACAATCTGCAGATTCTCAACACTAGAAGTAGCAGAGTCCACCAAAGAAACATTCAAAAGACATTGGTTCAATTCTTGGGTCTGTCAATTAAAGACATCTGTTTTCATTTTCCCCCTCAGACTGCGTGTGTCTCTCTCATTTGTTTATAAGCTTGATGTTTATAAACTTGATGAACAAGGAATTTTCTCTTAACATGAGTTTGAATAGTGCTGAACACAAAGATCATGGCTGAGACTTCTAGGCACTACTATGAAATAAATAAATAAATAACTGGTATAAACAGCATTTGTGAAAACCAAGAATGACATGCAGAAACCAAGTACATTTCAAAAAATTGTAATATTGTGTGCAGAAGGACCGCGTTGTCACACAAAAAAAATGTTAAAAGATCATTAACATCCACTGGGTGCATCTGTTTTTAAGGTATTACCTGTGGGAAAATGCTAATGTTGTTTGGAAATAAATGTAACTACTTCATGTCAAGAACCTCTTTTTCAAAGGAGTATAGCAATGGCAAATCTAACATTTAGATTACAAATTGTCCTTCTCATAGTGACTACATTTCATAATATACTTTGCGAAACAAGCTGGTAATTAGGGATATTAAAATACAGGATTCTTTTGGTAAACATGTAACCATCAGCAGTTACACACTAGAGGGGAGAGGGGAAGGCACTTCCAGTAGAGCTGCCTGCTCTCTCCTCGCCCCCATATTAGTGGCAGCACTGTGTGTGTTTGTGTGGTGGTGGGGGGGAGAAGCAGGTGACTCCCCAGGAGCCAGTGCTTGCAAGGAGCCTGTTCAAAAGCCGACTCCCAGTGACCACTGATTCCCACATGCTCACCCATGCTGCTACCTCTGATCTAGAGGCAGCAGTGTGTGGGGGAGGTGGCTTGAATGTAACCATGAAGGTTAAATGTGTACACCAGTGGTCCCCAACGCGGTGCCTGTGGGCGCCATGGCGCCCGCCAGGGCATTTGTGTGCGCCCGCTGACAACCTGGGCCGGCCCCGCCCCCAGCGCGTGGCGCACGGGAGGCGCCGGCCCCAGGCACATGACACGC